ACTCTCTTCCTTAGCTCTTTTGTGCCCTTTGGATGCAGATAATATTAGAGAATCTTCTGTTTTCCTGGCTAATCTTCCCAACTCTAAGGTTGTCCTCTTCCAAGTTTTGCTCAAAGCTTGTTTAGAAATCATAGATGAAGGGATAAGAGTCTTCTCCACCTGCATATCTTGATTGGGTTCCACAGGGGTCTGTGGTTCTGTTGGAGAATAGGAGATGGAGTTTCTTTCTGGCATGGTGTTCAAAATAGCTACTATTTCCTTCCGTTTAGAAGCAGGGTTAGATAAATGAAAGGATGTTGATGACTCAGCAACATCATGGAGGGACTTATTAGCAATCTCTTGATTCTTCAACATTACAACTGTACTTAGATTGACCTCTTGATTATGTTGTGGAAACTCCTTTCTACCATCTGTTGGTGTTTCATTAGTATTGAGACTTTCTTCATTAGGCTGAGAGTGATTGTTGTTTGTAGGGGAGCTAGATATGTAGGTGCCATAAAGAGCCTTCATCCATTCTCCATACAGACCCTCCTTTAGAGTATTGTTGTTCAAATCTTCCTCCTTTTTGTGGCAATTTCTGTCAGTGTGTCTCATATGCCCGCAGTAGTAACAGAAGCTTACAAGCTTTTCATACTGGTATTGGATGGTTACTATCTGCTCCCCCAACCTAATTTTGGTTCATCTAGGGAGAGGCTCTTTAAAATCAATCCCTACCTTGATTCTGATAATTCTGCCTCCATTACCTTCTGCTTTAGCCAGATTAACATATTTAACGTTCTTGAAAATTCGGCCTATTTTCATGCCCACCTCCGTGCTAATCCAGTGCACTGGTATTCCATGTGCTTGGACCCATAATGTGACTTTATCAAAAATAGGGTGAGCAGCTGAGATACCTTTTGTCCATTCCCGTAGAATCAGATGTTGATTTTCAAAGATCTAGCTCTTGCCTTCCACCACTTTAGGCAAATCCTCTCTTTTTAGAAAGAGGAACTGGAAAAAGTTGTTGCCAAGTTCCCGAACTTCCAATGTATTGCCCAGTTTCCATAAATAGCTCATCGTTCGCTTAATACCCACCCAAATAGCCTTGCGTTCGCCAATTATCTTGCCAAATAGACTTCTTTCGCATTCTTCAAGACTGAATTTCACATCGGTCGTCTCAATGTCGACTACCGAATCTTCAATTTCTGATATTGAAACTTTGCCCAATCTTTGCCCTAAATTTTCTTCCATAACCGAAACGGGAGACAGAAAGCCTTCGGCCCTATGAAAACACTCCTATGAAAGAAGAGGGGGATCTCCGAAGAGAAAAACTCTCAATCAAGGAGAGAAGAATCTCATCTAGGAGAAGAACTCTCAAGCAACTCTGGAGAGTCACAACCCAACCACAACTTTTGGTGAGCCAGCTCCTCAAAGCCAGCTACTTCCCCAACTCCTCTATTTTTTATGCTAAAAAAAAACATCAGTTTCCTGGTTGTGGAACAACTGGCTAGCCATGATGCCCACCTTCAAACTGGGCATTTGGAAAGAGATTAAAGATGGGACTCAGACCAATGTGATAGACTATGGCTGGGTGCCTAGCCGAGCATTAATCCCCCACAGAGAACCAATGTGGACCTGAATTGGAATCTTATGATGGTGAGTGACCTTGTGGAAGATAATGGCTTAAGGTGGAATAAAGAACTCATCCAGAATTTATTTTCTGAATCTGATGGGAAAGCGATCATGGAAATCCCTTCTCTTACTTCAGGATCAGAGGACAAATGGAGGTGGAAATTTGACCCAAAAGGTGCTTTTTCTATCTCTACATCTTACTCTCATTTGATGAATATGAAGTTGAGGGCTCTAGATGTACCAGAAGGTAGAAATAGTGGTAATGTGGACATCTCTGTCAGAGTGAGAATTTGGTCTTTTAAGGTGAAGGGCAAAATCAAGCATTTTATCTGAAAATGCTTTACAAGTACTTTACTTGTAAGTATTAATCCAGAAGCCGAGGTTTAGAAGTGGATCCAATTTGTAAGCATTGTGGTGATTTTGAGAAAACCATTGAACATGTACTGCTTAGTTGCAGGAGGGCCCAACAGGTTTGGAAGATGTCTCCTCTTTGCTGGGATGGCATTCCTTTAGATAATTGCAGCTTTAAGAACTGGTGGTGGCAAGTATGCTCGATCAAAAAATTTGAGACCTCCGAAGCTAGAATTCAACTTTCAACTTGTATACTTTGGTGGTTATGGCGATCGAGGAACTTGTGGATATTCAAACAAGAATTGGTCCCTGAATAAGTTGTTGCCAACAGAGATGTCACTGAATGGCAGGAATTCTTCGAGGTGTCCTCTAACCATAGCCGCAGTTCTGGACTCTGATGCTTGGTTGTTTGCTCTTTGTTTTTGGTTTCTTTTTGTTAGGTATCTTTTGTTAGTTAGCCTCTGTTGCTCTTTTTATTTTGTTGTCTTTGTTTCTCTAGTTGGATGGTCTGTTGCTGCTGTTGGCTGGTTTGTGACTAGATGGCCCTAGTATTAGTCTAGCATCTAGTCAGTAGGTTAGTTAGTTTGTTTAGCACACTTCGGTGTTGCTCCCAGTTCCTGTGCGGTGGTCTCGGGCTTGGCCCGCTTGTAAAA